GGGGCAGGCGAACGAGGAGTGAGGACATGTTGAGGACTCGGAAGAGTAGACACTTTATTGTTGCTTGTGGTCGAGGTAGTCTTCCAGGGTGGGAGGTGTGCAGAGGAAGTATTGGGAGATGGAGTTCGGATACACGCAATTTCTGAGGTTCGTAAGCAGCATAGCGGCGATATATAGAGCTCCAACAGGCGACTCTCCCGTCTTCATCTTTCTCTTGTAGTCCATAGTCGACAAGTACAGCTTCACTTCCTTGAAATACCACTCCACCGTCACTCTTCCCTTAGACATAGCACCGTTGAATGCGCGTTGGTGAGCGCTTAGGTTGGAGCCTTGATACGGTACTTCTAGAAATGGGCGCGGGTTGTATCCAGAGTCCCCATACATGCAGTACTGCTTCCCTCCTACGAACATAACTTGCGGTAAGGACTCCTCCACTCCACTCCGGCAGTAGAGCGTCCAGTCATGCCTCCTTTCCTCAATTGGTCCAGCAGCATGTAGAACCAAGCCATCCGGTGATGTGATGGCTTGGTATTTTAATGCATGCTTGCGCTTGTGACCATTGTACGCTACGTTCTGCACCTCCCCTCTACTCGGCCGAGCAATCGCAATAACTGTACCATCAATGAAGCCTGTGCAGTTGTCCAATGCTTCACATTTATTTTTGATGGCACATGCGTATAGGTCGGCCCTTTCACTAAAGAAGGTAGAATCTATGTCTGAGAGTATTAAATGTTGACGAGCTTCCAAGAAAGTTTCCATTCCCTCCCAAAATATCTCTGACAGTTGCCCTCCATGCTTCCCGAACAGCATCTCCATGTCGCGCCAGCGTGCAGGTGTGGTCAGACGTCGAAGTAAGACACATGTTACGAGAAGCGGGGAGCATACGTAGCGATTCCTGGTAGTAATGTCCCTTTCCCATGCAATTGCCGTCACCATTCGGATTACATCTTGCTTGCGGAATCTAAAGAGAGAGAGGCAACATGCATCTGTTAAAGCATTGAAGTTAAACGAAAAGGAAGAAAGAGAGATGCGGTTAGAACGTTCAGAGAAACGGAAGAGCTCACTTTGCTCGGACATACAGCGTTTGATACAGTGCATCAAAACAACACTTGTTGAAGAAGGTGAAGGTAGATGACGTCGTGCCATCAATACACGCAAGGCTGCCCTCCATTTCATTGCCCTTGCTGTGGCAAGGGTCACGGAATGGTTGCGCTGACGTCCTCTTGCCATCACTTGGCGGGTGAATGCTATCGATGCTAGTACTCCTATGCAGTTGCTCACGTTGTACTTTGCGTATATGCTCGATTGTACTCATGACCAATCCCCCTAGCTGTAATTTTGGTTTGTGAAGTTTTAGTCATATCCGTTACAGAAATCCTTTTGCGTAAACCCTAAAATT